GGAAGAAGAAGGAATCCCTTTTACTGAAAAAAGACTGGAGTCTGAATCTCAGAATGTGCTGCAATATCCCAGGTGGGTTGTGAGCCTTCTGTAGCACCTGCTTGTCTCTCGGCTTATTAGCATCTCCTAGTCATTCCTGAAGGAGCTCAGTGCAGGGCAGACCTTCCTGGCTAATCAAAGCTGCTTAGCAACAGGGAGCTGGTTAATAAAACCCCATGTTATTCCCAGCTTCACAGACTCCACCCATCTCCCATTACTGCTCATCCTAAGCTTGAAGCAATCATCAGGTTGATCCATTGGCACATAGGAGGACAGGGAACCTGGCGATTGAGAAGGCAGGCTGGGCTCTGGCCTGCACCATATCCCCAAAGCCTGGTGTTCAAGGTTGGGAGACACATATTGAGTCTGAGAACCTGCTCTGCCAGGCCAGAAGCCTCTCTGTGAGCTTTAGAAACCTGCTCTACTGTCAAAGGTTAAAACCCAACCTCAATGCCCAATCAGAAGAGAGTAAATAGAAATACTGTGGAGAGACAGACACTCCCAGATCTGAGCCAAGGGGAGGGCAGGCTCAGAGACATGATGGCTTCCCCAAGGCTCATGGGTTGATGCCTAAATAACCTCAGATCTCTTGATGGCAAGAGAACAATTGTGCCCTTTTAAAACATATGTATGGCCGGGCGTGGTGGCTCACGCCTGTAATCCTAGCACTCTGGGAGGCCGAGGTGGGTGGATTGCTCAAGGTCAGGAGTTCGAAACCAGCCTGAGCAAGAGCGAGACCCTGTCTCTACTATAAATAGAAAGAAATTAATTGGCCAATAAATATATATATAGAAAAAAATTAGCTGGGCATGGTGGTGCATGCCTGTAGTCCCAGCTACTTGGGAGGCTGAGGCAGCAGGATTGCTTGAACCCAGGAAATTGAGGTTGCTGTGAGCTAGGCTGACACCACGGCACTCAGTCTAGCCTGGGCAACAAAGCGAGACTCTGTCTCAAAACAAACAAACAAACAAAAAAACCCCACATGCATTACTATTCCAGATGCACAGTTCGAAGGCAAAACTTGGGATAATGTGATGTTTAACCCTGACTTTGAGTGCTCTGCTGATAAGCATAAGTTAAAAGTACTTTCTCCTCCAGGAGAATGGGTAATAAGAGATACTTTCCTATAGCTGGGGGTTCATGAAGTCACAGGGAAAACATGAAGCATTAATTTGATTCAATAGTAAGTCTTTACATTAAAATAAAAAAATTCAAAAGCCATATTATAGAGCAAAATATAAACTTGACATGATGCTTTAAGATTAAAAGGAGTTATCAGCAGTGCACTCAAACTTGGATCATTCAAATATAAATTAAAAAAATAAAAGGAGATGTCAAAGATCCCTCTCCCACAGTGGTAGTTCTGAGCCCATTCTCCGAGCCCCACCCTCTACCAGCAGGGAGGGAGCATTCACATGGCGGGTCCAGATCTTCTGGCTGTGAGCACCGCAGCCATGATCTGCAGTAGTAGGAACAGCCCATGAGGAAGCCCCCTCCCTGCCAGCTGGGGTTGCCAGGAAAGCTTCCACACAAGGAAGGTTTCTACTTGCAGGGGGCTACTGCATACCTGGTTTCTGGACAGACAGGTTTAGGAACAACCACAGCAAACAATAAACATACCTTTCTTGCCAATCCTCCAGAGTCTTGGCCTCCCACTGGGTAACTGGAATGGGGGTCTGGCTGCCACTTTCCTGGGTTTGCCCATGGCCAGTTCTTGACCCTGGGATTCTTCAGTTCCAGTTCTAAGTCTCTCCAGAAAGGTTCTGTTTTTTCAGCTCAAACATCTGTATTCTAACCAAACTCAGAGAAGCTCATCTTGCCTAGGCCTGGCTCTCTCCTCAATCACACCCTAACGGTCCTCTGACAAGAACAGAGGGGCAGTGTGGAGCCCAGGGACCCAGGACACCAGCGCCCCTTGCAGCTCTAGGGAATGCGGTCACTCTGTGTGCTCCTCATCTCCTAGCACGTTCTCTACACTCCCATTCCTCCCAGAAAAGGTGAATTCTGGTCATGGCTAGGACAGCAGAAAGACCCAGTTTAAGTCTGGATCTACTTCAGACTAAAAAGGCATTTCAGAGCATTTTTCCAGGGCATGAGGGAGACTGGCATACCACAATCTCCAAAAAGGCAAAGGGATGGCGTTTTCGATCAATGTATGTCTTGTCTTCCCTCCCCCACCCCTGCAAGAATCCCTGATTATGATTCTACCACGTGATGCTTGGAAATAGCTTATGGGGGGGGTAAGGTTGACACTCAATGCTTTAAACTAACCTGATTTTGAGCCCAAATTGGGATTTACCTCACCACTGAACACCAATTTTGACAAAACAAGGATTTCTTTTTTGTGGGTCTCAGATGCCCCAGCTCAACTTAGCTTGACACTGGTGGCAACCCCTCCAGCTCCTGTTCTCCACTGAGACTATGTACAGCCCAAGGCACAGGCAGCAAACTGGCAGAGGCTTGCAGATGCCTTTTGCTTGGCCCACACATATTTTTTTTTAATGGGAATTAGTTGTCAGCATTTAAAAAGTGGGAAATTTCAAATAAAAACCCAGACTTTTCTTAAAAGAGAGGCTATGGGAAGTCTGGGCCTGCATTCCTATAGGAGCTGAACAGTGGCTGCTCCTGACACAGGGCAAGTCCCCACCACTGCCTACTGTCTCACATCTGGACAGCTTCCCTTGTAGACAGTTTTTGTCTGACCCTGTAGCCATTTAAGTTTATACTGGTAGACCTGAAGTACCTGCTGAGGACTGACAGGACAGAGCTCCTCTTGCTCCTGGGCTGAGTTTAGAACTCTGGAGACTTAGGGGCTTTGTTCTATTTTAGCAACTGAAACTGGCTAAAAGTAGAAAAGTCATTCCTTTTGAGTATAATATCCCTGCCTCCTGGAAAGAGCCCTGTGCTTCCAGACAGGAGACAAAAGTGAAAGCCCCACTCTTTCCCGGGGGCGGGGGAGTCCTGCAACTGACTGGAGGAGAGCTGACCATTTTTGCTCACCCTAATGGCCTGAATGTGAGACACTCGTAGTTTTCCTCCTGCTTCTCTTCCCCCAGCCCCTTTTCCCTCATTCTCCCATGGCTACCCACACATGGCGCCCATGCACAAGCTGTTTGCACTATTTTATTCTGTTTTCTCTAGTGTGCATGCTTTGATGAAGCCTAGCACCAAGCTATGCATAACTGGACTGCCAGCAGAGCCCTTCTGGTGCCAACAGACACTAGCTAACATCAAGGAAACACAGCACAAGAGGAAAGGAATAAAGTTCTAATGCTCTTCAAAGTTACTTATCATAAGACTGGTATGTTTCTTTCCAAATCACAGGTTCTGCCAGGAAAAGCTGAGATCAGCTTGCTCCTTGTAAACCTGAGAATCATTATTATATCTTCTCAAAGAACTAGGCAAACTTACCCAAATGGGAGATGGTGGGAACTCAAATCCTGCAAACCTAGCTTCAGTCTCAACATCCAAAAGAGAAGGAAAGACATTTTCTGAGCTCTTATAATTCTAGGAATGAACTTTTTTTTTTTTTTTTTTTTGAGACAGAGTCTCACTTTGTTGTCCAGGCTAGAGTGAGTGCCGTGGCGTCAGCCTAGCTCACAGCAACCTCAAACTCCTGGGCTCGAGTGATCCTAGAATGAACATTCTTATGCATCATTTCAATCCACAAAAATTCCTTGAGGTGGGGATCATTGTTCTGTTTTTAGAGGAGCAAACTGAGGTTGACAGAAGTTAAGAAAATTGCCCAAGACGACTTATGAAGCAGAGCATCAGGATTCAAACCCAAGTCTGTCACTCAGACTCTGCTCATGGGCTGCCTCACACTGATTATCCTCTTACATCTCTCTTCATTATTTTTCTTCAAATCTCTTATAACTACCTGTTATTATATATTTATTTGTGCATTTGTTTTCTGCCCATCTCCCCAACAGAATGTAAGTCCCTGGGGCAGAGCACTGTCTTGTCAGTGCTATTTCCTTGCACAGAGAACAGTGTCTGGCACCTGGCGAGCCCTCAATGGGTATTTGTTATTAGACTGATGGGAAGAGCAGCTCTATCTGCTTCACCATGCCGCTGCCAAAAAGTGTCCCTGCCCTTATGCTCTTTCATTCCTCTCCCTTTCATGAACCCCAAACACCAATCTCAGAGGCTAAGGAAAATGACATAGAGATGGCAAATGGCTCTTTGTCCTTTCAGATAGGAAGTTTAGAGGAAGGCCAAATTTCTGAAAACATAAGAAAACTTTGTGCATAGAGATAGGTTTATTCCTACAAAGGCAAAAATCTTCGTGTTGAGGAGGATGTGGTGGTTTATTACGGACTTTCTCCCGCCCAATGCAGGAAAGTTTTGGCTATACCTCCTAGCCTATGATTATGTTCTTTCGCATCCAATAAAGTGCTTGGAGAATTAGAATGATGGGGCAACACAGGTGGAATTAATCAGAAAGTAAATGTTGCACAGAAAGCATCCCCAAAGCATAAACCCTTCCCCCAAAGCTAAAATAAGGATAAATCAGAGCGATGGTTCCCCAAACCAAATTACCTAGGACAATGGTTCTCCAAGTGTGGTCCCCAGACCAGCAACATAAGGATCATCTGTGAACTTGTTAGAAATCCAAATTCTCAGGCCCACCCAGACCTATTAGAATCACAAACTCCAGGGTTAGGATCTAGAAATTTGTGTTTTAACAAGTTCTTCAGGTGATTCTGATGCATGCTAACATTTAAAAGTTACTGTCATGGGAAACTAAAAATATACAGATATACAGATTCTTGGCACTGAAGATCCTGATTCAGTAGGAATGCAATGAAGCCCAAGGACATTTCAAAAACTTCCAACTTGATTCGGACTTGCAGCCAAGTTTGAGAACTACTAAACCTGAGGACTCTTCTTTTCCTGGCCCCAGGACAGTGTCCTCAGCTCTAGACCCACTTCCCATCATCCTTCCGTCAGTCACTCACCACACAGAGCAATGATGTGGCTGCTATCTTCATGCACAAACTTCCTGGTGACAGCCTCTTCCATGATTTGCTTCACCTGTGGACACATGGACAACACTGCTATTTTTATTATTCATTTTCTTATCAAAGACCAATGGGCAAATAAACAGGTTGTCCCTGCCCTCCTAGTCTGGGTTTTCAGACACTTGAAGAGATGATAAAGATGGGAGGGGTGAGGAAGCTAAGTTTCTTCAGTACAGTTTGCTTTAAGCCTTTCGGAGAGGAAATCAGGAAAAGAGAAGCCAAAAACTAACCAACCAATCAGTGCAGATGTTCTATTCTAGCCAGGTGGGAGTGCCCTGCCTTGGAGAACAGGGATGGGATGTTGTTTGCTCATCTGTACTCAGCTGGAGAAGGGCTTCTAGGCAGACACACTGCTTTATTTATTTATTTATTTTTTTTTTTTTGCATACCCTTCTGGCAGAAGACACACTGCTTTAGAGACAAACTGTCTCCATACAGTCTGTAGATAAACAACCTGCCCCTCCTATTCTCCCCCTTCTCTGAGGTTAGGGTTAGGCCTCATGCCCCAGGAACACTTTCTACATGCTGAAAAATCCAGCCTTCTATGCTCTAAAACACTTATTTTTTTGGTTCCTACCTGGATGTAAAAATTTCCAAATACCTTGAAAGGTAAAAGCAGTCACATTTTCCTTTAAGAAAGCACTCTTAAAAAATCCCTTTTTAATTTATATAAAGTAAGCATACGGAAAAGAGCTTACATCATAATTATATGATTGGTGAATTTTCACAAATTGAACACTCCTGTGAAACCAGCATCTACAGCAAGAAACAGAACACACGACCAACACCCCAAAGTACCTTTGCCCTGTCATGGTCCCGTCCAGCCACTACTCCCACCTAATGGTACTTACTAAACTGACTTCTAACACTATGGCTTTATGTGTTTTTATACTTTTTATCAATTGAATCAGTGTGTAGTGGTTTGTGGCTGGTTTCTTTTGCTCACCTGTGTGATTCTGAGATTTGTTCATGTTGTAGATAGCTGTAGAGGAAGCCAGGAGACAGATACTAATACTGGGTATTAGAGAGATGGATTACTTCAACCCCAGCATAAAATCTTACAGATAAAGCAAACTCTGGGCAGAGCTAGTCTTTACTATTCTTTGGACAGGCATATAAAGTGTTCTGATGTTGCCCTGGCTCCCAAATCACTCCCAGGACTGTATAGCTCAGAGGGTGGCAGACTGTCAAAAACCTGGGCAGGAGAGAGGAACGAACTGGAGGCTCCTCTCTGCTGGAAACTGCCCATGGTTAGTGGTTAGATAAAAGGGCATCGGATCGATTCATGCACTCTCAACTATTAAAAGCTTTCTAGTTACTTTCAAGGGGTATTTGCATTAAAAAGAGAGTAATGTCACAGCTAAAGACCAGGAGGCATCTGGAGCAGGCTTGTGTGGCAGATTTTTGGGTTAAGAGGACCTATAGATGATCCCAGAATTATAATACAGATCCTTTGTGAAAAACCAGCCTTGCCTGCAATTATTCCCGTTGTCTCTTCTCGCAGGAGAGAAAAGGATATGGTTCTGTGGAAATCAAGTACTGAAGGAGGAAGGGAAATGCATCGAGTTCAAAGCAGGCCAACCTTTGTCGGGTAAGATACATAGCTGTGACATATTCTGGGTATTTCTCACATTTTCTTAGGAATTATTCTTGGAGTAGTATAATTATCCTTCCTAAGTACTGGGGAAAAAATCATTATCTTCCCCAAAATCTTTCCCATTATCTTTGACCAACTCCCAAATTTAGATCACACCAATAATCCCAGCACATCTGTCTACAGTTTGGATACAGCTACTTTTGTTTTTGTTTGTACTCATATTTCTACAAGTCTCTGTCACTAGACTGTTTTCTTTCTGATAATCACTGAGATTTCTTTTTTCCTTGGGGGGAGCAGAATTGGGGCTTAAATATTGATTTGATATACCCCTGGCTTAAGAAAACCTTCCTTGGCCACTTCACAGCAAAGGCAACAATGAAGCTTCTCCCACAAGCAAGAAAGGTGATGACTTCAAGTACATCTTTGCCAAGGAGAGGGAAGGAAACAAATGTTAGGGTACAGTAGCCAGGCCATAGTTAATGCAGGACAACCATCTAGAGCTTTTCAGGATTTTATGAGAACCCAGACTCTTCCCTAATCCTGAAACTCTAAGAAGGGCTCCAATATGGTAAACTCTTATAAATGAGGTAGAGAGAAATTATAGAGATGAAGAAATCTAGACTCAGAGAGACTAAGTAATTTACTCAAGGTCACAAAGAACTAGGTCCAGATTATTCCAAAATTTATGGTTTCCCACCAGGCCTCTCACTCTCCAAGATCAGCATGTCTATTTACCAAACAGTCACTGAGTGCCTCCAGTGTGCCAGACACTGGATACAGCACAGTGGACAAAGCAGAGGGGGCTTCCCTGCCTTCACTGACTTTACTTATCTAGTAGAGAATAGCTACAGAGGCAGAAGGGGGAAGGAGGCCTAATCCATTCTAATTTACTCTGCGGGTTTGAGCTTTGGAGCTCTCACACGGGAGTGAGTCATTCATATGGGCACCCTCTCTCAACCACTGAAATTGAAATGGGTTTTTGGGTAGGGTCAAGGCAAAGGGGCTTAGTAGAGGAAAGGACTCTTTTCTCTTTCTGAAGCTGGAGGATTCCCTCAAAAGGGGAAAAAAAACCCTAGTTTTAAAAATCATTCTCAAAAAAAGAACCCTGGTCCCTGGGTAAGGAGGTGGGCGTGGAGGGAAAACCAGTGAGGAGTGCCGCGAACCCTCCGGCAGCTAGGACTCAGTTGCCAGAGGGATACCGAAGGGGCGATGTAGGGCAAAGGGAAGCTAAGCCCCCAAATCCCCCACTTAGCCCCGCAGGAGGCCCGCGCGGGGCCCCGCCCCTCCCCAGGCGGCACTGGCAATGAATGGGAAGCTCCGGTTCTCTAGAAATCGCCGCCACCCCTCCCCCGACCTCGGTTTCCCAGCCCTGCTGCCGTCACAGGGCGGGGAGCTGCGGGATGGTGAAGCAAACAAGCCCCGGAGCGCCGGCCTGGCCCCTCGGGTCCAGGGGCGCTGCCCCAGATCAGTGAGAGAGGCGGGAGCCGCAGCTGGCCCAGGACCCCGCCCCCGCCCGGCCCAGGCTAGGCCCCGGAGCGCCCGCGCGGGGGAGTGGGGGGTGGGGGTGGGAGCGGATCTTTCAGCCCCCCTGGGCCGCGCAGGCCAGGACGCAAGCCCCCTGGGGTCCTTGCCCCGACCGTACCTCCTTTTTCACGTTCCACAGCAGTTTCTCTTTGACTGCGTCCTCCGCGCTGCCCATGATGTGGCGGGGAGGCGGCGCCGAGTGGCCCCCCAGCCCCCAGCGCGCCCTCGCCGCCTCCGCGCCTCTCAGCTCAGCGCCCCACGCGAGAGGCGGAGCGCCCGCCCGCCGCGCTCCCCACCCGCCGCCACCGCCGCACCCACTGCCCGGTGCTCAGCTCCGCAGCCATCTTCCGAGCCCCGCACAGACGTCAGGCAGCAGGCCCGGCCCCTTCCCACCGCCGGAGGGGGGGTTGCGCACGGCGACACGGGGAGGTCGGGGCTGGGGGGAGCCTCCGTGCGCTTGGGGGCGGCGAGCCCGGGCGCGCGCCACGCGGGTCGCTGTCATGGTAACGCGCCCGCTCCTGCCCAGAGGGCGCGAAGCTGCATTGTGAGCGCCCGCAGCCAGCTCCGCTCCTGCCCAAGCCACCCCTGCATCCCGCAGCTTCACGGCTGAGGGGGAAGTCGCTCGCGCCTCGGCGGGCCTCAATCTAGCTAGATGCCCCCTGACTTCCTCCGGCTCGTTCTCCCGACCGCAGGGACAGAGCAGGGAGCTGAGAGGGCCTGCGGCTCAAGCCTGCTCACAGGGAAGCCAGCATTCGTCGCCTGGCTGTGCCCCGGCCAGCCGTCGCCATTCAGTTGTAAAGTTTGTGGGAAGAATGACACTAGGGCCACAGCCTCCTCCCTCCCCTTCGGGGCCGCCATGTCTCGCCTGGCTCTTCTTGCCGCTATGTGGGAGGTGGGAACTTGTACGGAGCATGTGAAGCTGAGAGAAATCCCTTTCACGCTATTCGCCTTGGAACTTCACCAGCCTTACAATGAAACTGAGAGAGAGGAGATTGCACAACGTGATAAAGAACACCTGCTGTTGCAAAATAAAGAGCGGCACGCCCGAATCTAGGTGAGAGCGAGGGGCTTAGGCCTCTTCTGCATGAACGGACTGTCTCCCATTCAACATCTTCCTACGTGATGCAACTTTACAGTGCAAAAAATAAAATACAAGGGAGCAAAACAGCCCTCCTGGATAGAGAGCCCTTGCCTGGAGAGTCTACACCCGGCGTTTTAGAGTCCCAACCGCAGACTGCGGCGTGGGAAAAGTTCCCACCGCGGCTTTGCAAATAGGCGGGCGTGGCGTTCTTACAGGCTGGTGGTAGAGACCCTAGCTAGAGGGCGCGGGACTCCCGGCCCGCCCCGGAGAGGGCCCGCCCCCATGGAGGGGACCGGAAACGCTCCGCCTGGCCCGGAAGCAGTGCTGACTTGGTACACGCGAGCTGCGGCATGGCTGCTCACCGCTCCGGCCCGCTCAAGCAGCAAAATAAAGCCCACAAAGGCGGGCGGCATCGGGGTCGTGGGTCTGCCCAGCGGGACGGCAAGGGTGAGAAGATAGGGTAGGAGGAGGAAGGGCTGTTTAGCCAACATTGATTTTTTCTGTATTCCCAGACTGAGCTTCTGTTTGCGGCGTGGGCCCCATGCGAAAGGCCCTTTCTTAGATGGGCGGAGAGGGAATGCTTTTCTTGACCTTCTTCTGATACCGGGCACAACAGCTCTTTCTGATCTGCCCTCCAGGCCGTCTAGCACCGAAAACCCTAAGCAAGAAGGTGAGAAAAGAGCTCAGCAGAGTAGACCAGAGGCATCGCGCCAGCCAGCTCCGAAAGCAGAAGAAGGAGGCGGTGAGAGGAGGGGGGTTGGGAAATGGTGCAGCTTCTCAACCGTTCTAGGTGGGCAATGCCTCGAACTAGAAAATGTGACCCAGGGAAGGGGCTAGGGACAGAGAATAACCCTAGAGCACATGTCGGGCTTTCAGGTCTGTACTCACTAGAGCATTCTTTGCTTCGGTCAGAACTGCCACCCCGCTGGCATACAAGAGAGATATTCGTTGCATGATGGAGGCAGGTGGGCATTTGTACTGTTGAAAATGCAATACTGGAATGAAGCACTGAGACATTGAGATGTTTGCTGATCCTTTCTATTCTCAGGTTCTGGCAGAGAAAAGACAGCTGGGCAGCAAGGATGGCCCTCCTCATCAGGTACTGGTGGTGCCCCTGCACAATAGGATTTCCCTGCCAGAGGCCTTTCGGCTGCTTCAGGATAGGGACAGTGGAATAGTACATTTGAATGAACTGGGAAGTAGCCATAGCTTTATGCTGCTGTGTCCTCGCTTGAAACATCGATGGTTTTTCACATCTGCAAGGCCAGGTTAGAGTATACAACAATATTTTCTATCATTATGTTTGAGTTAGAGGTAATTTTTTTGTGTGTATAATGTGCTGATGCCAACCACCTATTTATTACTTTGTCGTCTATCTCCAGGGGATCTGCACACTGTGTTAGACATGGCTAAAGTAGCTGATACCATCCTGTTCCTCCTTGACCCACTAGAAGGCTGGGATAGCACTGGGAATTACTGCCTTTCCTGCCTCTTTGCTCAAGGACTTCCCACCTATAGTAAGTGAATTGGAGTATTGGAGGCCAGGGAAGGAAGTAAATTAGCATTTACCTGGGCACCTATAATTTGTTAGGCACTGTGATGAGTTATTTTTAGCTGGTGGGGGAGTATACATGTACGGATTAAACTTGGTTCATTGTTTACAAGTTATCAGTCAAAGTGCCTTTTTATTTCTGGGCTGTCCTTTGTCCAAAGAAAGAAGATGAAGTTTGATTTCACTGAAATTCCTTTAGGTTACTCAAGTATTAGGTTTCCTAGTGATCTCTGGGCTTACAACTGAGCTGTTAGGTTGTGAACTACAGAGAGATTTTCATGTAGTAAATCAATATGTCACGAAAACCTTTCTCTTTTGCTTACAGCACTAGCTGTCCAGGGTATTTCTGGCCTCCCACTGAAAAAACAAATAGATGCCAGAAAGAAACTAAGTAAAGCTATGGAGAAACGCTTTCCGGATGACAAACTCTTCTTGTTAGACACTCAACAGGAGGCAGGGATGCTGCTAAGGCAGTTGGCTAACCAGAAGCAACGGCATCTTGCTTTTCGAGATCGACGAGCCTACCTTTTTGCCCATGCTGCTGATTTTGTGCCTAATGAAGAGAATAATTTGGTGGGCACCTTGAAAATTTCAGGCTATGTTCGTGGGCAGACTCTGAATGTAAATAGCTTGCTGCATATCACTGGACATGGCGATTTCCAAATGAAACAGATAGATGCCCCCCTGGACCCTTTCCCTTTAAATCCTAGAGTAATTAAATCCCAGAAGGACCCAGGCATGGAAATGGAGGTAAGGCTGATATTTTTAAAACCATGTATTGTAGATTTCATACATAAATTGGTGAAGGATGGAAATTTAAAATTCAGAGAAGGTAGTCTGTACACTTAGGCCAATGAGGGAACTGCTAGTTCAAAGTAAGGCAACAGTCAACTACAAATATGTTGATGAATCACATATTTATACAGCACTTTCTAGGTACCCTGCACTGCAGTTGGCTCTGAGTTTATAGAAGATACAAAAAGATATGGTCACTTTCTTCAAATAACTTAATTGAGTCAGAAAAAATGGCAAGCCCGCGTGAAGTAAAGTTTGAGATAGTATATGGTGAAGGCACAGACAGACCTGCTGTGGAAGGTAAGAAAGTAGACTAGTAAGCTTCACAGAAGAGATCCGACTTAAGCTAGGTATTGAGAAGGATGAATGTGACTTACTAGTTGAAGAGGGATGAAAGAATGTCCTAGAAGATAGAGATAATATGAACTGAGGCACATTGATGGATCAAAGGGTTTTTTTAAACTTTGAAGAAATCAGGCTGGCATAGTGGCTCACATCTTATAATCCTAGCACTTTGGGAGGTCAAGGCAAGAGGATTGCTTAAAGCTAGGAGTTCTGTGTTGTTTTTTTTTTTTTTTTTTTTTTAGTCAAGAATCTCGCTCTCTCGCCTGGGCTGGAGTGCTATGGCATTAGCCTAGCTCACAGCAACCTCAAACTCCTGGGCTCAAGCAATCCGCCTGCCTCAGCCTCCTGAGTAGCTAGGACTGCCTGGCTAATTTTTTTCTGCTTTTAGTAGAGACAGGGTCTTGTTCTTGTTCAAGGATGGTCTTGAACTGACCTCAAGTGATCCCCCAACTTCGGCCCCCCTAGAAGCCAGGAGTTCAAAACCAGCCTGAGCAACACAGTGAGACCCTGCCTCTACAAAAAAGAAAAATTAGCCAGGCGTGTTTACCTGTAGTCCCAACTACTTGAGAGGCTAGGGCAGGAGGATACCTTGAGCCCAGGAATTCAAGACCAGCCTGGGCAACATAGTGAGACACTGTCTCTGCAAAAAAAATTTAAAAAAATTAGCTGGGTGTGGTGGCACACAACTGTAGTCCCAGCTACTTGGGAGGCTGAGGCAGGAGGATTGCTTGAGCCCAGGAGTTAGAGGCTGCAGTGAGCTGTGATAAGACTAGTGTACTCCAGCCTGGGTGACAAGCAAGACTCAATTCTCCTTGAAAAAAACAAAAAAACAGGTATAGAGCCTTAAAATTAGGAAATGGTCATTTGGCAAATTTTGGGTTGTTTCATTCATCATTTACATGAAAACTTATATTTCTGATCTTTCCGGTTACTGTTTTTAGATTTTTGGTAATGTTTGACTAACCATCCCCTGCTTTTGGTTTTGAGATTTGTGATACAGATGCTGTTGCTGATATGGAAGAAGACCTTAAGGTCCTAATGAAGGCAGACCCTGATAGACAGGAATCCTTGCAAACGGAGGCTATCCCAGATCCAATGGAGGGGGAGCAAACCTGGCCCACTGAGGAGGAGCTGAGTGAAGCAAATGGTTGGTATCAGCAAACTTGTTTATAATTCATGCAAACTAGAACTGTGGATTTTGTCTAGCTTCTCACAATGAGGGACCCTTATAGGGTGGAGTAGGATGAGGATGTAGTTGAAGGTGTGTCACTCACTTCTTACCCCCAAATGCTGTCTGTTTACACTAAGCAAACATTGGATACAGCTTTGCTCCACTTCTCAAAATTACTTGTGTTATTGTTTTATAAGGAACAGATTAACAATTTTGGATTCACTGCAGGGTTTATTTAGCCATGTAAATATTGCTAGTTGTGAGGCAGCTGAATTAAATTTGGAAGCAGTCTGTTCTACTCAGTGTCTGCTAGAGATTTCCCTGTTGATAGCAATATCTAGTGTGTTGCCTAAGTGAGAATAACCAGAGTGATAGGGGAAAGGAGTTATATGATTTTCTTAATTTGTTTGGGCTTTTTACAGTGAAGGAAAGCTCCAAGGTGGTAAAGAAGGTCCCCAAAGGAACATCCAGCTACCAAGCTGAATGGATTTTGGATGAGGATGGCGAAAGTGGTGGAGAAGGAGATGAATATGATGTTGCAGAACATGAGGATTTTATGGAAGAGGAATCTCAGGTAAGGAAACAGGCCCTTAGGCCACTTCTGTGTACAGCTCCAAATGCAAGTCAAAGTGCAACTCCTGATCTTAAGGGGTGTGTGTGGTCAATTTCTTAAGAATGACTCTGTAGTTGCCGGGGATGAGATTTTTGTTTTAAAACTTAGTCTCTCTCAGAATTTATATTCATTGGGAATAGATATCTAATAAAATTATTTTATTATTAGCTTAATGGCCTTTGGGATAGAGACAACTGTGGCTTTCTTCTGAAATAACTGTAATTCTACAGGATGAAAGTAGTGAAGAGGAAGAAGAGGAGGAATGTGAAACTATGACTATAGGGGAGTCTGTGCGTGATGATCTGTATGATGAGAAAGTAGATGAAGAAGCTGAGGAAAAAATGTTGGAGAAATATAAACAAGAAAGACTGGAAGAGATGTTTCCAGATGAAGTGGACACCCCGCGTGACATGGCTGCTAGAATTCGGTTAGTCAACAAGTCTAAATTCAATCAATAAGTTTTTATTTAAAACTTAATTGGCTCAGAACTATGTCAGTGTGATACAAAAGAAGAAAAACACATCGTTCATGCTCCTGCAGGGCTAACATTTTATATCAGAAAGCAAGACATACATAGAGGAAATAGTAATATGCAATCAAGTTCTAGGCTATGGTTCAGACTAATGTCATAGGACTTTAAGGAAGGAGTAATACTAAGGTTAATTAGAAAATACTTTTATAGTAGCTAATATTCAATTGAAGTATATAAAGTTTGGAAGTTTTGAGGGGTTTGGGTGGAACAGCAAAAGTAAAAGCATGAAGATGTAAATGATCATGTCTGCTCTAGAGATGGGTCTGACTAAAGCCAGAGAGTTCATGTTGGATATTAGAGAAGTAAGGCTATTACCAAGGCTCTTGTTTGTCAGGTTAAAGAGCCACTCCATGTCAGGCAACAGAGAGCCACTGTAAATACTTTGTCAGTAGAAGCTTGGGTTTGGTTCTCATATACTTGTTACAAGTTAATTTGGAGTTGGGTCTTGGTTTAAGCTGTTAGGTTATTTTCAGAGATAGTAATTAGAGTTCTTTTAAGGTAGAGCTGTAGCCATTTTAGAAGTGACTTGAGTCTATGTAGCACCATATAAATCTCACTTAAGTTTTCCTTAAAATCTTCTATATTCTAGATTTCAGAAATACAGAGGCCTCAAGAGTTTCCGGACATCTCCATGGGATCCTAAGGAAAACCTTCCTCCAGATTACGCTCGGATCTTTCAGTTTCAGAACTTTACTAATACTAGGAAAAGCATCTTTAAAGAGATTGAGGAAAAAGAGGTTGAAGGAGCTGAGGTATCTACCTTCCCTTCCCTTGTCCATCCTGTAATTTGCTTTTGTTTGTCAGTGTATTCCCTACTTTATTCCTTTTCTTGGCATAAGAATGAGGTACCTTACTTTGTCTTGTGCTACCCTTAGATGAATTAGGGGAGGCACTGAGTCATCTATAAGAGTGATATTGGGGGCTGGGCGTGGTGGCTCACGCCTGTAATCCTAGCACTTTGGGAGGCCGAGGCGGGCGGATTGCTTAAGGTCAGGAGTTCGAAACCAGCCTGAGTGAGACCTCGTCTCTACCAAAAATAGAAATAAATTAATTGACCAACTAAAAATATATATACAAAAAATTAGCCGGGCATGGTGGCGCATGCCTGTAGTCCCCAGCTACTCGGGAGGCTGAGGCAGTAGGATCGCTGAGCCCCGGAGATTGAGGTTGCTGTGAGCCAGGCTGACGTCACAGCACTCACTCTAGCGTGGGCAACAAAGTGAGACTCTGTCTCAAAAAAAAAAAAAAAAAAAAGAGTGATATTGGGAACAAATAGGTATCAAAGATATTAAGTGAAAAAGTTGAATATGGGTACTTGAAGCATCTTAAAGGGCAAGGGTTGGCTTTAAAAAGGTAATCTGAGAGACTTTTAATACTTTCAGCATTGGAGAAATGCTTCATCATTATTGGGACTTTGAAGGGTAACCTCATGACTGTTTTCTGCTTTCTCATGGCAGGTTGGCTGGTATGTCACACTTCATATTTCTGAAGTCCCAGTCTCAGTGGTTGAATACTTCAGGCAAGGAGCACCCTTGATTGCATTTTCTTTACTACCTCATGAACAGAAGGTGAATTATTGTCTTGGGAAATTAAAAAACTTTCCAACCCATTCTGTCTTCCAAGTCTAAAATTCTGTTCATGTGACTGATATTTTGCTCATTGGGATATGAAAATTCTGCCTGTATTATTAGGAATCAGAATAACAGAGAAGTCAATGATGGTTTTACCCAAAATGTCTGAACCTGTCTGAAGCATCTCAGTGATGCAGTCCCCGTGTGGTTCTGAGACTTCTCTAAGTATGTTTTTCAGATGAGATTTTGAACAAGGGTTGGCAGGCTTAAAAATAAAGGTTTATGCCAAGGTGCAGATTTCTCTTCTCTTGGTGGGCAGTAGTTGTGTACGTTGAGGGGTATGTGACAGGTCTTTGGGTCAGTGTGGGGAAGGATTGAAGATGGGGTTTGAATCAATATTGTTTTGAGGTGTGTGGTGAGTGAATGACTTGAAGGCGACTGATTTTTGTAGCAGATGTTGAGCTCTTTTATGTTAGATGTGGGAAGGTAAGCTAGCACAGAAGGGTGCATGAAAGCTCTGATCAGCCTAAGTTTGACTTGAATGACAGCCTTTAGTAGAGGTAAAAGATGAATCTGTGTTCCATCATCTGCACTTCACCACTAATTAAACATTATCAGTTCTTAGAGTGAATCTGAATCTGCTAGTTTGGTTTGTCTTCTTTCAGGTTAGGCTGTTGTGTTCCTAAACTACAAAGTTTTTTTTCTTTGCTTGGTTCTCAGATGTCAGTTTTGAATATGGTGGTGAGACGGGACCCTGGCAACATTGAACCTGTGAAAGCCAAAGAGGAGCTGATCTTCCACTGTGGATTCAGGCGCTTCCGAGCCTCACCTTTATTCTCTCAGCATACTGCAGGTTAGCAGTGGGGAAGCTTCTGGGTTTTTGTCCATCTTACTGTCTTTTAGGAATTGTGACTTTGGGGAGGGGTGCAGAATACACAGTTTCAAACTCTTAGATCTCTGGGTTAGATTTTTAACACTCAGGCTTAGGCGCCAATGATGCCTTTATTCAAAATGTCTGAACCTGTCTGAAGCATCCCAGTGATGCAAACTCTGTATGGTGCTGAGGCTTTTCTGCCTTGAGTATTTGTGTCAGAGTAGGTTTTGAATAGGAGTTGGCCGCTTTATAAAACAGGTGTGTTAAAGTGTGAAAATCTTGGTATCTAGTGTGCCAAGGGCACTGTAGGTGAAGGGAAGGCATTGGATGTTACCCATAGTTGGGTAAAGCAGAGAGGTATGGGGTTCTGAGATGTTCAGAGACTAGATGACAGTTTGGAGAATGGTGACTCAGGACACTTTTGTGGCAAAAATGATTGTACTCCTACATATTAGGAGTAGGAAGATGTGTCGCCCACTAACTTGAGGGCTTCTGAGCATCATCTTAGTTCACTCAGCTTTCAGTAATGGCAGAAGGAAGATGATGAAGGTATAGTATCAATGGTGTTCTGGATAATTTTTATTCTCACAAACCATGGTGTCTAAATGAATGATTAATTTTTCTTTCCCATAAAATATTTTTCTATAATTTTAGTATTTTAAAAAGGGTGAAGGTTACATTGAAGGTACAAGTAGTCAAGGTAGTCTTCAAAAGATCGAGGGTTAGGAAACTATGACCTTTGGGCCAAATCTGTCCCCTACTGCTTATTTTTTTTTTTTTTTTGAGACAGAGTCTCACTTTGTTGCCTAGGCTAGAGTGAGTGCCATGGCGTCAGCCTAGCTCACAGCAACCTCAATCTCCTGGCTCAAGCAATCCTTCTGCCTCAGCCTCCCAAGTAGCTGGGACTACAGGCATGTGCCACCATGCCCGGCTAATTTTTATATATATATATTTTATATATATATATATATATATAAATTAGTTGGCCAATTAATTTCTTTCTATTTATAGTAGAGACGGGGTCTCGCTCTTGCTCAGGCTGGTTTGGAACTCCTGACCTTGAGCAATCCGCCCGCCTCGGCCTCCCAGAGAGCTAGGATTACAGGCGTGAGCCACCACACCCGGCTTTTTTTTTTTTTTTTAATGTATTGCTATGGTCCCCAACATGGCCTGGTACCAGTGTGTGCATCACTGTTTGAGCTTGCTCCCCTCCTCCCACCACCCCCCTTCCCTCCTGGAAAAATTGTCTTCCGTGAAATTTAGGAAGGTGTGGGGGCACTGCAGGGCAGGAGGTGAGTGCCAGGTGGGCCAGCAAGCAAAGCTTCATTTGTATTTATAGCTGCTCTGTTCCCCATCACTCTATCACTGCCTGAGTTCCCCTCCCCTCTGTCCGTGGAAAAATTGTCTTCCATGAAACTAGTCCGTGTGGCCGAAAAGATTGGGGACTGCTGATATATTGTCTATGGCTGCTTTTATGCTAAAGTAGCACAGTTGAGTAGTTGGGACAGAAACTGTATGGCTGCAAAGCCTAAAGTATTTACTGTTTGGCCCTTTACAGAAAATGTTTGATAATTTGTGCTCAAGACTAAGTTGTTGATTGAGCAAAGTTGTTGCCCAGGCTAGAGTGCTGTGGCGTTAGCCTAGCTCACAGCAACCTCAAACTCCTGGGCTGAAGCAATCCTTCTGCTTCAGCCTCCCGAGTAGCTGGGACTACAGGCATGTACCACCATGCCGCGCTAATTTTTTCTATGTATTTTTAGTTGGCCAATTAATTTCTTTCTATTTTTAGTAGAGACAGGGTCTCGCTCTTGCTCAGGCTGGTTTTGAACTCCTGACCTTGAACAATCCACCTGCCTTGGCCTCCCAGAGTGCTAGTGGAGAACTTTTTCAAACCCCAAATTTAGTCCAAACTCTAAGATTGTGCCTTCAGATAAAAGTTACTGGTAGGAGTAGCTTAGTATCTTTATTTGTATTGAGACAGGAAACATTTTTGAGAACTAATGGGGTAGAGAAACACAAGGTGCTTTAGGTTTAAGAGTTGCAATAGTAGCCTTTTACAGACCTCTGGATTATGTACGGTTTTTCAAAATGTTTTTGGTTTTTATTTTTTAACTCTTGTCATGGCAGCGGACAAACATAAATTTCAGAGATTCCTGACTGCTGATGTGGCACTAGTGGTGACAGTATATGCGCCAATCACTTTTCCTCCTGCATCTGTGCTGCTTTTCAAGCAGAAAAGTAATGGTAAGTTGAGTTCACAGAGGTGAACAGTACTATAGGTCCTTATAGGATTAACACTGTTGTCTCTTCTGTATTTAGATTTGAGAGCCAAATGGTACAGAGAAGGTAATGATGGTTTTCAAAATATAGTAAGTCTTCACTTAACCTCATCAACAGGTTCTGGAAAACCGCAACTTTAAGCAAAATGACATAGGGTAGGTCCTCAGTTGTTAACATCCTTTCTTTATAATATTGATGAGGAAAAACATTGGTTTTATTATATATCATTTTACTTAAAGTTGAAGTTTCCAAGAACCTATTGATGAGGTTGAAGATTTACTGTTTATCAATCTTAGTGTCACGGTGGGTCTTGGGCAGGGGTGACAAACTGGGTTTTAGCTTGCTTGCAAATCTTAGCTAATCAGTAGACGCTGCCCAGAGTGCTATATTTAGGATAGATTTTGGGGACAGCCTTAGCAGGAATGCCATTTAGTTATCTTTGCCATGAACCCAAGAGGGCAGCATAGTGTAATATTGCTTTAAGGTTTTTCCAAGAAAATTTTTTTTTTTTTTTTTTTTTGAGACAGAGTCTCGCTTTGTTGCCCAGGCTAGAATGAGTGCTGTGGCATCAGCCTAGCTCACAGCAACCTCAATCTCCTAGCTGAAGCAATCCTTCTGCTTCAGCCTCCCGAGTAGCTGGGACTACAGGCATGCACCACCATGCCGCGCTAATTTTTTCTATGTATTTTTAGTTGGCCAATTAATTTCTTTCTATTTATAGTAGAGACAGGGTCTCACTCTTGCTCAGGCTGGTTTCGAACTCCTGACCTTGAGCAATCCGCCCGCCTTGGCCTCCTAGAGCGCTAGGATTACAGGCGTGAGCCACCTCGCCCGGCCTTGCATAGGTCGTTTTTTTTGTTTGTTTTTTTTTTTTTTGAGACGGAGTCTCACTTTGTTGCCCAGGCTAGAGTGAGTGCCATGGCGTCAGCCTAGCTCACAGCAACCTCAAACTCCTGGGCTCAAGTGATCCTCCTGCCTCAGCCTCCCAAGTAGCTGGGACTACAGGCATGCGCCACCATGCCCTGCTAATTTTTTCTCTATATATTAGTTGGCCAGTTAATTTCTATTTATAGTAGAGATGGGTCTCGCTCTTGCTCAGGCTGGTTTCAAACTCCTGACCTCGAGCAATCTGCCCTCCTTAGCCTCCCAGATTGCTAGGATTATAGGCATGAGCCACCGTGCCCGGCCCCTTGCATAGGTCTTTAAATGGACTGGAGCAATAAATGAAAGCTTTGACCTATAGACTCTTGAACAGACTCCTGCTTTGCTTTTGCCCCTTAGGAATGCACAACCTCATTGCTACAGGCCATCTGTTGTCAGTGGATCCAGATAGAATGGTCATCAAGAGAGTTGTTCTGAGCGGTCATCCTTTCAAAATTTTTACTAAGATGGCAGTGGTACGTTATATGTTCTTCAATAGAGGTAGGTATGAAGGAGAATGGGTTCTGACTGCCTTTGTGGTATGAAGGTTGGGTTTATATTTTGTGGGTAAATGTTTCATCTTGGTCTTTTACATGTTCTATTCTAAGAGGATGTGCTGTGGTTTAAACCAGTGGAACTGAGAACAAAGTGGGGCCGCAGAGGACACATCAAGGAGCCTTTAGGTAAGAGAGTGTGGGATTTGGGACCTTGTCTAGATTTCTCAGTGTTAATTAAATGACTTTTGGGTTGGAAGTCACTGTTTTAAAATTTCCTACTTTTAAATTGACCAACTTGCTCTGTTTTCTTTCTAGGTACCCATGGCCACATGAAGTGCAGCTTTGATGGGAAGCTAAAATCTCAGGACACAGTACTGATGAACCTCTATAAACGAGTTTTCCCCAAATGGACTTATGATCCATATGTACCAGAACCAGTACCTTGGGTGAAAAGTGAGATTTCTTCAGTAGTGCCTGAAGTGGGCATGGAGTGATAGATTTAAATTCTGTCTTGCTGGTGCCAGTTAGCATTCTAGGGATGGGAGCCTACAGGCTGTGATTAGGCAAAGTTTGTTTTCTACTTTAGCCTATCAGACTGCTGCCCCATTTGCAAAAGACTTTGCTTGACCTTGACACCATGTCTCAGTGAAGTATGGAAGTTTTTCTACTACTTAGTCCAAAAAACTGTTAAATCTTAAACTGAAATATGCACTCTCCATTAAACATTTGAAAACTTTTAAGAGAGAAAGATGGAAAGTTGACAGTGACAAGGAAACAAAATGTTCAAGTATCTACAGACACTGAATCTTTTCCTTTTGCATAAATTAAACAGACACAGATTGGAAAGGAGCTGGGTTTTCAGCCTGCTTTACCCAGGTTAGGGAGGTTAAGTCTACATTTCCACCACTCAGCACAATACAAATGTTCTTTACTTCTGAGGATACTGTTTGAAAATGCTCAGACAGCACAGCAGCTACTGCAACACCAGCTGTAGGTTCAATGAGTAGTTTCATCCTCTCCCACACCAGCTGGGTTGCATACTGTTGGTACAGAGGGGAATGAGAATTAGTGAAATGGGAGAAGGGGAGTTGCATTGGCTTAATTATAAAAGGCCACAAGAAGATATACCCAGTTTGAATTTTCTTACTGCTATATGTGTGTGCCTGTCAAGGCTTTTCTTTCATCCTAACTGCTTCTATTGGCAAGAGAGTTGTCATGATACATCTAGGATACCCTCCCACATGTCATGAAGTCACTTAGCCAAGTTACCAGGGGTCAGTTGCTACTCATAACAGAAGATTCTTTTGCCCAAGGAGTTGTACCATTCTTTTGTTATTTCTTTTCCTGTTGGAGCCTTACCTTAATTTCATCCTCTGTGACAGTGAAGACATCATCTACAAGGTCCCTTATAATAGGCCAGGTGTTAAAGCCAATGCTGGATTTGACACCGTCTGCTATGGTTTCTGGAGGATATGGGTTGGGGGTCAGTTCCCCTTTCAGTTTGGATTGGTAGCAGTCATCTGCATTCAAGGGCTCAGCAGCATATACCTTTACACTAGGTCTCAGGGCCTGGGAAGAGGAATATTAAGACACGTTACAACAAACCACAGTATTGCATGTCTAAAATAAAATAGGCAGAACAGGTAATACACTTCTGCCCAAGTAAAAGCCTTCCATTTGATGGATATAATGAAAATACGACCTTAAAGCACTTTATAAATAAACTATATCTAATACTGGCCTTCAGTTCTGTGGATCACATCTGGTCCTACTGGTTATTTGGGAAAAGGGTAGCCCCTGGAGTGGATAGTAGATTGGTGAGATGTAATTCAGGGACAGGACTGTGAAGGTGTCACTCATTATATCTGCTTTTGTTCTATAAAGTTATGGATTAAGGAGAAAATAGTGAGGCAGAGAAGGACCTTCTATCTCAAGTGCCAGGGGATAAGGAGAAGGAAAGAATGATAATCTGGGGTGAATGTTCAACAAGTATCCACAATGCCCCATGATGTAAAACAAATCCTCTGTGTGAAGCAGAGAGTCCTCCAGGAGCTATTTTCTCACCTTAACTGTAATTGCTATTCCAGCAACCATTCCTCCTCCCCCTACAGGTACCACCAGTGCATCCACCAAGGGAACCTTTAGTGAAAAGAAAATAAAGTGTAAACAGGCCTATTAATAAGCAGTTTTATATGTACATGTAATTAAATCTAGAGCCAGACAGCTTTACCAGTATCTAAACAGGAAGAACTAGGCTGTTTTACCTGGTTTAGCACTTCTAGGGCAATTGTTCCTTGCCCAGCTATCACTGCAGGCTCCTGGTTGGGATGTACCATGATGCCTTCTGTTTCTTCCATAATTCTCTTTGTAACATTTTCTCTGGACTGAAAGTACATTAATTTACCTTACTTGATTTGCATTTAATAAAGTTCCCAACAAATTAGATTCAGTGTTTAACTATTGACAATCTACTTTTTTTCAGACTTTGTTCAAGCACTGGGGATATTGCAGTGAACAAACAGTCCCTGCCCTCAAGGGGTTATATCATATGATGGAGAGGGGTGGGATATAAGTAAATATATGATATATCTAAGTGCTATGGAGAAAAATGAAAGAATTTATTTTATGTAGGGTGGACAGGAACAGCCTCTGGTAAAGTGACATTTTAACCAATTTGAACAAGTACTGTGGATCTCCGGAATACTCCAGGGAGAGGGTAATAACAAGTGCAAAGACTACAGAGTAGGAGTGCTTGACCTTTCTGAGGAACTGCTAAGAAGGTAGTGTGGCTGGCATGGAGTGTTTAGGGGAGAGAAATAGGAGATGTTAGACAGGAATGGGCCGATTCCTCAGGTCTTACATGACTGTAAAAGACTTTGATTTCCACTGTATAAGAGGGGAACTCATTCTGGAAAATTCTGAGTTGACAATAGACAAGTTCTAACTTACTAAATGAATAGCTCTGGTTGCTCTCTTGAAAACACTAGTGGTGCAAGGGTGAAAGCAGACAGATCACTTAGGCTACTGAATGTAGGTAAGAATTGATGTTGGTTTGAATCAGTGGTAATGGTAAAGGCAGAAGTAGTTGGATTATGGAAATATTTTGAAAGTAGGACCGAGATGTGGGGTGTGAGAAGGTTACCAGAGATGACTGACTTCTTTTGCTTGAGCAACTGGAAGGATAAAAGCTGCCATTTATTAAGATGAGGAAGACTGGAAGGGGAATAAAATAAAGAGTTTGGTTTTTGACATGGTGAGTTAGATACCTCTTAACACAGCCAAATGTGAAAGTCAGGTAATCATTGGATATATAAGTCTGGTGTTAAGGGGTGAGGTTATGATTAGAGTTGTTAGCCTACAGATGATATCTTAAATGAGACTAATGAGATCACCTGAGTGAATATAGATAAAAGGTTGAGTATGCTAAGATTGAAAAATAAAGGAAACTGAGAAGGAGCAGCCAATTAGGTAGAAAGAGCACTTGGTCAAATTAAAGCTATTACAGTGGTTCTGAACACTGCTCGTGTTCTTACCTCGTCACTCTGTTCACTGTATACTAAAGATGCTCCATAGGCTTGTATTGCTAGTTTTTTACAGTTGGGAGCTGTTTGGGGCACCACAATATAAGCAGGAATCCCTAGGAGGGGAAAACATGTTTAGTTAGTATAAGTCAGAATTTAGGATAGAAACTTACGTTCATTTTGCTTATAATCAGGGACTCCTTTGGAAATTTACTTTCCACAGCTATCACCACTGAAATTAAGGACACTTTGCACTCCTTTCTGATGATCTAACCAGTACCCTGAGAAATTAATCAAGTACCTTCCAATTTGGCAGCGTATGTGAGAGCCTGTCCATGGTTTCCACTGCTATGAGTAACAACAGCTTTTGGCTTCCCTTCTAAAGTGGCAGGAACCAAGCCTCTGATGGCATTAAGGGCACCACGAATCTGGAAAAGAGGGATGCTAAAATCATGTATTTGATTTAAATGTTTCTTTTTGAAAAGCAAGGAGCTTTTCTAGATTTTCTCGAACAGTGCACATCCAGCCTGTCACTAGATCTTATTGATTCTATCTCCTAAATATCTCATGCGCATCCTTTTTGTCACTACCTTGTGAGGCCTCATTTCTTCTTCTTTTTTATTTTTGAGACAGAGTCTTACTCTTGCCCAGGCTAGAGTGCTGTGGCATAAGCCTAAACTGGGCTCAAGCAGTCCTGCCTCAGCCTCCCGAGTAGATGGGACTACAGGCATGCGCCACCATACCCGGCTAACTTTTTCTATATATATTTTTAGTTGGCCAATTAATTTCTATTTTTTTTTTGAGACAGAGTCTCGCTTTGTTGTCCAGGCTAGAGTGAGTGCCGTGGCGTCAGCCTAGCTCACAGCAACCTCAAACTCCTGGGCTTGAGTGATCCTTCTGCCTCAGCCTCCCGAGTAGCTGGGACTACAGGCATGCGCCACCATGCCCGGCTAATTTTTTTATATATATATCAGTTGGCCAATTAATTTCTTTCTATTTATAGTAGAGATGGGGTCTCGCTCTTGCTCAGGCTGGTTTTGAACTCCTGACCTTGAGCAATCCGCCCGCCTCGGCCTCCCAATAGCTAGGATTACAGGTGTGAGCCACAGCGCCCGGCCTAATTTCTATTTTTTTTAGTAGAGACAGAGTCTTGCTCTTGCTCAGGCTGGTTTCAAACTCCTGACCTCGAGCAATCTGCCTGTCTCAGCCTCCCAGAGTGCTAGGATTACAGGCGTGAGCCACCACGCCCGGTCCTCATTTCTTCTATTATCAAACCTCACCTGATCCCTCCCCAAGGATCAATTTCATAAAATGTTTCCGCTACAATATGAAAGTGATCTTTTAAAAATGCAAACCCAGCTTTGTGCAGTGGCAATATCATAGCCAATGAGGTTTATCTGAGGCATGATCATTGCTAATTAAAAACTTTTCCCAATGCAAGTTCCATGACAACTTGCAATATGGTCAACATTGACAATATTTGGCGGTCCTTATGGGGAATTAATTAAAAAATTAAATTAATTAAAAAATAAAGGGAAAAAAATAAAAATGCAAACCCAGCCAGGTGTGGTGGCTCATCACTATAGTCCCAGCATTTTGGGAGGCTGAGGCTGGAGGATCTCTTGAGCTCAGGAGTTTGAGACCAGTCTGGGCAATATAGTGAGACCCTGTCTCTACAAAAAATAAAAAAATGACCTGGGCATGGTAGCGTGCCTGTAGTCCTAGCTACTTGGGAGGCTGAGGCAGGAGGATCACTTCAGTCCAGGTTTGGACATTGGATCATAGCTCACAGCAGTGAGCTATGATCATGCCACTGCACTGCAGCCTGGGTGACAGAGACCCTGTCTCAACAACAAAAACAAAAACAAAAAGCCCAATCATCTCTTAACATTTTTTTAATAAGACAAAGTACACGTTCCTTATAAGCTGTAGCTTTTCTAAAACACATCTATTACCTTTATCCCTTGTAGCCATCCTAAATTATTTATAGTTTCCCTTCTACCAGGTTAGCTCACACTCCTGTACCTTTGAACATGCTGGCACATTTATCTGTATGTAGTTCTTTCCCCTACTCCCTATACTCATCCTGTAAAAATTTGGATCAAACATCACCTGGTTCAACTTCCTTGATTTCCCAGGCAAAATTAGTCACTTCATTCGCTGTTATTCCATGGCACCTTGTTTGTATCTTTTTAAAGACATTTATCATTGATCTATTTGTTGACCAGCCTGTCTTTCCCTGAAGTATGGGTAAAGGGCAAGGCCTACCATATCTAATAGCGTTACTGAAAATAAGTGAAGAGTAAATCATGGTAGAAGCAAATGGTAAAAGTGAAGGGAGGATTTTTTTTTTTTTAAATTATAAAAGCTCTCAGTTAATGTGTGTGGGGAAAAGGTAGATTCTTAAAGTCCTAAAGCTACTATAGTTAACAGATACTAATACTGCTAGGCACAGTGCTAAATGCAATTTTCAGACTTTTACCTGGAATGATCTTAAAGCCTAACTAAGGGTAATAAGTTAACACACAGAGGTCTATCTTTATGCTTAATAAAGGCACAGGCATATTTTGTAGAAAAGGATCTTATTATATGGGGGTTTAGCTAGGGTTTAGATCTTTTGTGTTCATAATGTGTCAACATTTAGCAACTTGACACAATTGAATGCTTAAACTTGGGTTATATACAGTGTGACCAACACTTCCCCTTTTGCCTGCAACAGCCCAGGTATCTCAGTTTAGTCATTACAAGTGCCCTCTATGATTCTCAAATATGTCCTAATTTGGATAATTAGTGTTCTAGTTTGGACAATAATTTATATATAACACAGTCACACATCACTTAACAATGGGATACATTCTGAGAAATGTGTCATTAGGTGATTTTGTCATCATACAAACATAGTGTACTTACACAAGGCTAGATGGTATAACCTACTACATACCTAGGCTATATAGTATAGCCTATTGCTCCTAGGCTTCAAACCTGTACAGTATGTCACTGTATTAGTATGCAGGCAATTATAACATAATGGTTAAGTATTTGTGTATCTAAACATAGAAAAGGTACAGTAAAAGTATGGTATTATTATGGGACTAGTCCCTAGGGACTACTGTCATATGTGGACTGTTGTTGACATATTATGCAACACATGACATTATATATATATATATATTTTTTTTTTTTTTGAGACAGAGTCTCGCTTTGTTGCCTAGGCTAGAGTGAGTGCCGTGGCATCAGCCTAGCTCACAGCAACCTCAAACTCCTGAGCTCAAGCAATCCTCCTGCCTCAGCCTCCCGAGTAGCTGGGACTACAGGCATGCGCCACCATGCCCGGCTAATTTTTTCTATATATATTAGTTGGCCAATTAATTTCTTTCTATTTATAGTAGAGACGGGGGTCTCGCTCTTGTTCAGGCTAGTTTCGAACTCCTGACCTTGAGCAATCCGCCCGCCTCAGCCTCCCAGAGAGCTAGGATTACAGGCGTGAGCCACTGCACCCGGCCGACATTATATATATTATATATAAATTACTTGGATAATAAATTGTATGACCTTAATTATAAGGAATTTTTAGATTGCATGAAAGTGGCTTATCAGTACAATAATGCAAGGTAACCAGGACTTGAAAATTTCTGCAACCTTTTTTTCAACTATAAAAAGGCATTATTTACTTCAACCTACCTCACTGGTGAGTTAGGTAGAATTTAAATGTATATATGAAAGGGATTTGAAAATATATGTAATATACTAAGAAAAGGGATTGTTACCTTAAAAGATCCAGTTTTCTGAAAGAGTTCACATTTGAAGAAAAGATTGCGCCCCGTTACTTGATTCAAAATGGAGCTTGTTAGCACTGGTGTGAGGTGGATAAAATCTCGAATGTTAATGTGAGCTTTTTCAACATCAGCAAAGGAGATGCAGTACTGAGCACACATAGTTCTGAAACCCAGGAATAAGAAAGCAAAGTGTAAGACAGTATGTTTATTGCAAAGATTTTGAAAATGCATAACACAACTAACTCCATTACTAACTAACTCCATTACAGGACTCCATTACATTACTAACTCCATTAACAGGACTAACTCCATTACTAGAGTGCCAGAATTTCTGTATAGAAGGGAATTGTCTTGAAGCTGAACGAAGTTTTTCTGGTGAAGTTTTGTAGGAAGTAACTGATGGTGATTATGAAAGGCTAACGTCTGCTCCCCACCCATACCACCCATCTCTTGGCATATCCACTGGTCTCCACTTTGCTTTTCATCATTGTTGTGAAGCTGCTTGAATGAACTGGGTTCAAAATTTGCTATAAATTTTTATTAAAAAAATTTTTTTTTGAGACAGAGACTCGCTCTCTTGCCTGGGCTACAGTGCTGCGGCATCAGCTGAGGTCACAGCAACTTCAAACTCCTGGGCTCACGCAATCCTCTTGCTTCAGCCTCCCAAGTAGCTGGGACTACAGGCATGCGCCACCATGCCCAGCTAATTTTTTCTACATATTTTTAGTTGTCCAGCTAATTTCTTTCTAGTTTTTAGTGGAGACAGGGTCTCATTCTTGCTCAGGCTGGTCTCCAACTCCTGAGCTCAAATGGTCCTCCTGCCTTGGCCTCCCAGAGTGCTAAGATTACAGGTGTGAGCCACTGCACCTGGCCTATCTAAAAAATGTTAAGAAATTAAGAAATTAATAAAGAAAATTAGCTACAATTCTATCATTTTTATGTGTTCATTTTCTGTTTCCTTCTGTGTTTCAATATAGATACATTACATAACACTTAAAAGCAAACATTTTGTTTACTCCTACTTCATTCGGCTCAGTTTCTTCAAAGTTTTTATTGTATTTTTTAATAATTGTATTAAGCTTCCATTTTCCACTATTTGTACTATAGTATTTAACCATGAAATTTCTGTTTTTCCTTATTACAAAAACAATCCATGTCCAATAGAAACAATTACAAAACCAATCTATATTCAATAGAAAAACAATTTAATCTGAGAATACAGAGATGCAAAAAGCATGAAAATAACCACTAAACCTTCCTACCCAAAGACAATTTGCTATCTAGGCTCTGGTGGTTTCTCTTGCCAGGCATATATATATACAGAGAGAGAGAGAGACCTTTTTTTTTTATAGGTTTGGTAGCTTGCTCTTGTGTGACAATATTATGAATATATATGAATGTTATCAATAAGTAAATTTTTTTTTTTTGAGACAGAGTCTCGCTTTGTTGTCCAGGCTAGAGTGAGTGCCGTGGCGTCAGCCTAGCTCACAGCAACCTCAAACTCCTGGGCTTGAGTGATCCTTCTGCCTCAGCCTCCCGAGTAGCTGGGACTACAGGCATGTGCCACCATGCCCGGCTAATTTTTTTATATATATATATCAGTTGGCTATTTATAGTAGAGACGGGGTCTCGCTCTTGCTCAGGCTGGTTTTGAACTCCTGACCTTGAGCAATCCGCCCGCCTCGGCCTCCCAAGAGCTAGGATTATAGGCGTGAGCCACAGCGCCCGGCCTCAATAAGTACATTTATGCAGCTTTTTTTTTTTCTTTTAAGAGATAGGGTCTTGCTAAGTTGCCTACGCTGGTCTCAAACTCCTGGCCTCAAGTGACCCTTCAGCCTCAGCCTCCTGAATAGCTGGGATTACAGGGGCAAGCCACTGTCCCCAGGTGGGCAACTTTTAAAACGGCTTAATAGTATTTCTTTTACAAAAATACCATAAGTTAGCTGGGGGCAGTGGTGTGTGCCTGCAGTTCCAGGTACTTGGGAGGCTGAGCTACTTGGGATTGCTTGAGCCCAGGAGTTTGAGGCTGTAGTGTGATATGATCATGCCTGTGAATAGCCACTGCACTCTAGCTTGGGCAAAATAGTAAGACTGTTTTTAAAAGGAAAAAAAGCCTCAATTTTGACTTAACATAGCTCTAATGAACATTTAGATATCCTTTTGTGCTTGTTGGCTGTAATGAGTAATGTAATGAACAATCTTGTTGCAGATCTTTGTGCACCTCTGTTCGTCCTTAGGGTAGATTCCACCAAACAGCATTTTGTATCAAAATGCAACTACTCTTTTAAGACATTTGATACTCACTGCCAAACATCTCCAGAAGGGTTGTAGATTACATCAATTTGTACTCCCAACAACATTTTCTAAGGAATGCCCATTTTCCTTCATCCTTCCCGTACCTTTTTATTTTTCTTGAGATAGGATCTCCCTGTGTCACCCAGCTGGCGTGCAGTGGCATGATCATATCTCACTGTAACTTAGAACTCCTGGGCTTAAGTGATCCTTCCACCTCAGCCTTCTGAGTAACCAGGACTACAGGCTCACGCCACCATGTCCAGCTAATTTTTAACATTTTTTGTAGAAATGGGTCTCACTATATTGCCCAGGCTAATCTTGAAATCCGGGCCTCAAATGATCCTTCTGCCTCATCCTCCCAATGCACTGAGATTACAGGCGTGAGCCACCATGCTCAGCTATACCTGTATCATTTTTATCTGTCAATTAAATATGTCTAGTAGTTTTAATTTAATTACTAGTGATTAAACATTTTTTTCTGTATATTGGCCACTTGTCCTTTTGTGAATCTTTAACACATCACTTACTGACTGAATCATCTTTTTCCTCTGAAATTCCAAAATTTTTAATTTTTTTTTGAAATTCCAAATTTATCAAAAATTAAATTTCTGTTAATGCCTAGAACCTTTGTATTTTGCTCCATTTATCAAACTGCTAATTCCTTTTCCAATTATGCAATGTATAAAGTTCTCCTTTTCTAAAATCTGTTGGCTTTTCTCATACATCAATTCTTTTTTTCTCTATATATTAGTTGGCCAATTAATTTCTTTCTATTTATAGTAGAGACGGTGTTTCGCTCTTGATCAGGCTGGTCTCGAACTCCTGAGCTCAAAGGATCCTCCTGCCTCGGCCTCCCAGAGTGCTAGGATTACAGGTGTGAGCCACCATGCCCAGCCTTCATACATCAATTCTTCCAAGTGAATTTAGAATTCCTTTATCAAGGTTGCCAGAAATTCCACTGTAAAATATATAAATGAATTGGGGCATAACTGACTTTTAAAAATATTGAGTTTTCCCATGAATATGGTGTCTTTCAATTTAGCAGTCTTTTTGTTCTAGATTTCTCAGTGAAGTTTTCATAGTTTCCATTTGCGTCTTTTATATATCTGATTAAATTTATTCCTAATATATATTTTTGTTGCTTTTGAGATAAAGTATTTTATTTGTTAGATTTTTTTTTCCTTTCTTTTCTTTTGAGATAGGGCCTTGCTATATTGCTCAGTCTGGTCTTGAACTCCTAGGCTCAAGTGATAGTCCCATCTCAGCCTCTGGAGTAGCTGGGACTACATGTGGACACCCCCACACCTAGCTAATAGTCATTAGGTTCTAAGGTTAACTGATGATGTATATGAAAGCTAATAATTTTTGTATATTTATCATGTAATAGGACACTATTAGATTATCTTGTTAGATCTAATAATTTTATAGTTGATTTTCTTCACCCTTTTAAAGAAAACAATCATGCTATCTGCAAATAAATATAATTTGTCTTTACCTTATAAGCATACCTCTAATAACTTTTTTAGTGACTTCACAGTAATTGGTTTATGTGGATTTAGCATGTCATCTTAAATTAATTTCAGTAATTTATATTTTTGGTAAAATCATTTCAAATTTATTAGTAAAAAGTACATATTACTATTTCTACATAAACTTCATCTCTGTGACTTGTTCATTCACTCAGCAAACATTGAGCACCTTCTATCAGGGGTCCTCAAACTTTTTAAACAGAGGGCCAGTTCACTGTCCCTTAGACTGTTCGAGAGTGTGCACTGTGGGCCTGGGACTAGTTGGCTGCTAAGCAGGACAGGCAGTCGCAGCAAAAACACCTGGAAGGGGCGGATAAATGTGCCCGCATGTGGTCCGCAGGCCGTAGTTTGAGGACGCCTGTATTAGATTCTGTTTGGACTGGGGATATGGCGTTAGAAATATTGACTTGTCCCTGCCCTTATGAAGCTTATAATCTAGTGGAAGACATGTAATAATGTAAAAATAAGTATTTATTTACAAATTTTAGTAGGTGCTATTAGGGAAGTATGTTATGATAGGGTACTGTTATGCTTTGCATATGGTTTATTTGTTCCCATCAAAACTCATGTTGAAATTTGATCCCCAATGTGGTGGTGTTGAGAGGTGGAGCTTAGTGGGAGGTATTTGGGTATGGGGGTAGATGCCTCATGAATGCTTTGGTGCTGTTCTGGAGGAATTGAGTTCTCCCTCTGGTGAGACTGGATTAGTTCCTTGAAAGAGCTGGGTTGTTAGGAAGCCAGGATACCCCTGTCTTCACACATATCCAAGTATCTACTTCCCCCTGTGACTTCTGCCAAGTTGTGACATAGCAGGAAAGCCCTTGCCAGAAGCCAGGGCCATGCCCTTGAATTTCCCAGCCTACAGAACCATGAGCTAAGTAAACCTCTTTTCTTCATAAATTACCCAGTCTCAGGTATTCTTCTTCTTCTTCTTCTTCTTTTTTTTTTTTTTTTTGAGACAAGGCCTCACTCTGTCACCCAGGCTGGAGTGCAGTGGCACAATCATAGCATGCTGCAGCCTCAAACTCCCTGGGTTCAGGTAATCCTCCTATTTTAGCCTCTGGAGTAGCTGGGACTACAGGCATGCATAACCATGCCTGACCAATTTTAAAAACTTTTTTGTAGAGAGAGGGTCTCCCTATGTTGCTCAGTCTGGTCTTGAACACCTGGCCTCAAGCGATCCTCTCACCTTGGCCTCTCAAAGCACTGGGATTACAGGTGTAAGCCACTGTGCCTGGCCTCAGGTATTCTTTTATAGCAACAGTAAATGGACTAAGTAAGACAGGTAATATAATGGGAGACCTTTATTTAGATCAGGGAAACAGGTTAGGGGCCTCTATGGAGAAGTAAAATTTAAGTTATGACCCATAAGTTTAATGGGTTTTAGCCAGGCAGAGTAGAGGGAAAAGTGTTTCAGGTAGTGGGAATAGAATGTGTGATGGCTTTAAGGAGGTTAAGAGCTACATATATTCTTGGAACTAAAAGGTGGCTAATGTATCTGAAAACAGTGATCAAAGGGGAGTATGATAAGAGATAAGAACAGTGAAGTTGGCAGGGCTCAGATCATGTGGGACTATGATTCATGAATTTTTTTCTTAGTATAATGGAATGCCACTGAATAATTTTGAGCAGGTAAATGACATGTTAGAATCCATATATTTAGAAAATCATTCTGGCTACATTGTGGTAAATGAAAAGAAGGGGACAAGAGTGAAATCAGGGTGTTCCAGTTAAGAGGTGTTGCAGTTGTCTACATGAAGGATAAAGGGGCTTAGATTGCAAAAGTAGAAATAGAAAAAAATAGTCATTTATGACATATTTTGGAAAAACAAACCCAATTAAAAAATGGGCAAGGGACTTGAATAGAAATTTCTCCAAAGATAAACAAATGGCTAACAAGCACATGAAAAAATGCTCAACGTCACTAATCATTAGGGAAATACAAATCAAAACCACAATGCGATACTATCTCATAACCTTTAGGATGGCTACATCAAAAACAAAACAAAACAACCCAGAAAATAACAAGTGTTGACAAAGATGTGGAGAAACTGGAACCTTTTTTTCCTGTTACTGGGAATGTAAAATGGTGCATGTGTTATGGTAAACAGTATGGTGGTTCCTAAAAAAATTAAACACAGAATTTTCATATGATTCAACAATTCCACTCCTAGTAGACCCAAAAGAATTGAAAGCAGGGTCTCAAAAGAGATATTTGTACACCCATGTTGACAGCTGCACTATTCACGGTAACTAAAAGGTGCAAACTACCCAAGTGTCCATTGATGAATAACGATACATAATGTGATATATATATATGCAATGGAATATTACTCAGCCTTAAAAAGGAGGAAATTCTGACACATGCTATAACATGTAGGAAAGTTGAGGACATTATGCTAAGTGAAATAAACCAGTCACAAAAAGACAAATACTGCATGATTCTACTTATAGAAGGTACCTAGAGTAGTCAAATTTATAGATAGAAAGTAGAAGAGTGGTTGCCAGGGAATGGGGAGTTATTTAATGGGTATAGCATTTTGGAGACTGGTTGCACAACAATGTGAATACACTTAACACTACTGAACCATACACTTAAAAATGGTAAATTTTTTGGGTGTTGGGCAAGTGGGAGGGGGAGGAGGAGATGGGTATATACATACATAATGAGTGCGATGCCCACCATCTGGGGGATGGACAGGCTTGAAGATCTGACTTGAGAGGGGAGGGAAGAAAGGGCAATATATGTAATCTTAACATTTGTATCCCCATAATATGAAATAAAAATAAATGGTAACTTTTATGTGTATTAAAAAAAAAACACTAAAAAAAGATACATTTCAGAGGTTGTGGTTAATTAGGTCTCTTGGTTGCAAGTGACAGAACCCCAGTTTGAACTAGTTTAGGCATAAAGAATCCAATGAAGAGTTGAACAAACCATGGGAAATGCGGGAATATGGAGCTTCAGGAATAATTGGAACCAGGGATTTGAGAGCTTCCAGGACTCTCAGTTTCTCACCTCTGCTGCTTTCTGCACATCCGCTTCTTTTTCATTGCAGACCAGCTGGTTCCATATGGCAGGATACATGGCTGCTGACAGCTCCTGTGTTTTACATTTTATGGCTTCCATACTGGAGAGGAACTTTCTTTCTTTCTCAGTTTCAGTTCAAAAAATTCTGGGTAAGGACTCTGGCCTATCTTGGCCCGGAACCAATAGCCAAGGGTGTGAGGCCATTTAAAATAATACTATATGACAGTCAGAAATATTTACAGAAACATGAAACAAGCAGAATGAGATCTATAACACAATTATCAATTATGTACATTTAAAACAGACATACATAAAACAATACTATATATTATTCAAAGATACATGTATATTGAAAAACATATATCAAACACATTAGAGTCACTAAGGAAGGAGGGAAGGAACATGAGTAGAAAGCGAAATAAAGAGAAAAAAGAAAAATGATAAAGGCCTTGTTGATGATAGTGTGAACAAACTAGAATGACTGGCTCAACTCTCTGCACCTGAGGGGGAAAAAAGCATCAGAGAAAGGATAGAGGAAAGAAAGAAGAAAAAAGGAAAAGAGAAAGAGAAAAAGAGAAAGTACTTCTGAGTGGGAGTAAGGGGCAGTTTTCAAGTGAAAAGGAAGAGGAGAATGCTGGGGAAATGATTCCATAAATGTTCATTGTAGAAATAGATGGGACATCCTCATATGGGAGATAGAGGTGTCAAAAATAACTCCTGGGTTTTGATTTAGATGGTGGTACAATTTATAGAGATTTAACGCTGGCAAGAAACAAATATTTGAGGGAAAAGTAAGATATTTGATAAGCTAAGTTTGAACTGCTTATGAGACATTCAAGAGGATGTCCTTTTCTTCATTGACTTGTCAGAAATATGTCTATTTTAGTATCTATTAAATTTCTGAAGAATTAGCACTTTAGTTCATTTATCAAGCACAGTCCTTTTTTCCTTATTAATTTTTTATTTTATCCTTATTCTTCCTTCTATTTTCCTCCTATTCTTCATTCTTCCTCCTGTTACATTTTTCTAGCTTTGTGAATGCTTAGCTTATTAATTTTCACTTTTTTTAAGCAATAAAAGAATTTAAGGCTACAAATGCTAGTCTTTTCTGTCTTGATCAGTTATTTAAAATTGGCATTAAAAAAAAATCCAAGTGGTTAGAATTTTTTGTTTAATTTGTGGTTATTCAGTTCTAGTTTTATTACTTTGTGCTCAGATAATGTGACCTGTATATTTTTTATGTTTAGAAACTGAATTCCTCCCTCTCCCACTAGCTAAATTTGCTTTATTGTCTCTTGGATTACCCACATAATATGTGACCAAATCTCTATTTTAAGAATTTAAGACATTACAGAAGTATATAGAACCTTCAATTTCAACTATCAAATCTCCTCTCTTCTACAAAGGTAACCACTTTTAAAAAGTTTGGTATGTATTCTTCCACATATTTTATATGCATTTATATAGAAATTTACATAAACAATAAATAATTTTGATGTACACAGGTAGAACCACATCATATATATTGTTCCATAACTGGCTTTTTAAAGAAAAAATTTAAAAATACTTTTTTTTTTTTAGAGACAGGGTCTTGCTCTGTCACCCAGGCCTGGAGTGCAGTAGTATGATCATAGCTCACTGCAGCTTTGAATTCATGGGATTCAGCCATCCTCCTGCCTCAGCCTCCAGAGTAACTGGGACTATAAGTGCATGCCATCACACCTGTCAAATAATACATATTGAAGACTGTTCCATGTCAATACATAAAGATATTATAGGCTGGGCGTGGTGGATCACACCTGTAATCCTAGCTCTCTGGGAGGCCGAGGCGGGTGGATTGCTTGAGGTCAGGAGTTCAAAACCAGCCTGAGCAAGAGCGAGACCCCATCTCTACTATATATAGAAAGAAATTAATTGGCCAACTAATATCTATAGAAAAAAAAAATTAGCCAGGCATGGTGGTGCATGCCTGTAGTCCCAGCTACTTGGGAGGCTGAGGCAGGAGGATTGCTTGAGCCCAGGAGTTTGAGGTTCTTGTGAGCTAGGCTGACGCCACAGCACTCACTCTAGCCTAGGCAACAAAGTGAGACTCTGTCTCAAAAAAATAAATAAATAGGCCGCGCACGGTGGCTCACACCTGTAATCCTAGCACTCTGGGAGGCCGAGGTGGGCGGATTGCTCGAGCTCAGGAGTTCGAAACCAGCCTGAGCAAGAGCGAGACCCCTTCTCTACTATAAATAGAAAGAAATTAATTGGCCAACTAATATATATAGAAAAAATTAGCTGGGCATGGTGGCACATACCTGTAGTCCCAGCTACTCGGGAGGCTGAGGCAGGAAGATTGCTTGAGCCCAGGAGTTTGAGGTTGCTGTGAGCTAAGCTGATGCCACCGCACTCACTCTAGCCTAGGCAACAGAGCGAGACTCTGTCTCAAAAAAAAAAATAAAAAAATAAATAAAGATATTCTAGTTTTTTAAACTCGGATGCTTTTGTTGTGATACAGGCCTAAATATGGTTTTCTTTTTATTTCTTTTTTCTTTTCTATTTTTTTTTTTTGAGACACAGTCTCACTCTGTTGCCTGGGCTGGAGTGCCGTGGCATCAGCCTAGCTCACAGCAACCTCAAACTCCTGGGCTCAAGCAATCTTCCTGCCTCAGCCTCCCAAGTAGCTGGGATTACAGGCATGTGCCACTATGCCCAGCTAATTTTTTCTATATATTTTTAGTTGGCCAATTAATTTCTTTCTATTTATAGTAGAGATGGGGTCTTGCTCTTGCTCAGGCTGGTTTTGAACTGACCTCGAGCAATCTGCTCACCTCGGCCTCCCAGAGTGCTAGGATTACAGGCGTGAGCCACCTCGCCCAGTCTTCATTTTTTTTTTTTTAAAGCATATTTCACAAATCCTTTACATCTGAGAATTCAAATTTTTTACAATAATTTAGTAAAGTTTCCTCTATTATTTGGTTCATGCTCCTTCTCAGTCAGCTTTGTTATCACCTTCTGGAATTTGTATTTAATTATTCATTTATTGAACCCATTCTCCATGTGCCCCATCCTTATTTCACAGTTTTAATCTATTATCTTTTTCCTCTGAGTTCAGTTAATTTTCTTTAGCTGGTGGTAACTTTTGGCATATCTAATCTGAAGTTCACTGACATTGTTGAATTAAATTGGTAATCTCACTTCTAAGAAAGTTTTCTTGTTTCAGACTATATTTCCATCTTTAAAAAAACTGATGCAACGTCTTCTCAAATTTCATTGTGAAAACGAATTTGTTTTTAACATTTCTTCATATTTCTTCCAAATCTGTTGGCAAAGGTTACCATTTGCTCTGATCACTCAGATCACTCCCCTTCTTTTGACCTCTTGAATCTTTTAACATATCTATTGACTTTCTCCTTATGCTTACCCTTCTGGTGACAAAGAGTCTGCCACATAAGAAGAATTGAACAAGTTATGTCAGAAATTGTTCAAATCTTTTAGGCTCAAACTAAGGAATAATTGGTAACTATTCTTTGATGGTTTAGAGGTCCAAAGGACTGGGCAGGACAGGGAGGGAGCAACAGGTGGAGGCAGGCAGCCTTGGGAGAGGGAGTTTCACCACAGCACAGTTCATGGACAAAAAAGGTTAATGTATAATTCTTCTGGTCTAGTTACATTTTAAAGATGGAAAGAATAAAAAAGTCAACCTGAGACCCAGGGAAGTAATTTTTTCAAGAATCCACAGTGACACAGAAATTCCCAAATCGATTTATATACCTCCTGATTTATTTCCACACAACTCATTCCCTCAGGAAAAGTCAACTATAATGTACATATTAATATTTTTTGAGAGTCAGAAGGCTTGGTGATGCAATTTGCCATAATGAAAAAGACTGATACTCTGGTATTTATCAATTCTGACACCCTGGGCAATTTACTTTGGTTCTCTGGGATTCAGTTTCCTCATCCTACAAATAGGGGTAATGTTAACTACTCCTTAAAGATCTTTAAGGTCCCTAAGTAGAAGCCTGGGGCACTAGTCTGGGCCTGTGGCGGGAGATCCTGGCCTAAAGATGACTGGTGGAGGCCGGAGTCTCCGTCAACCCGAGTCCCAGACCAGTACCAGTATCATCGGTGGCCATGGCCACGGCCACAGCCACAGCAACAGTAGCCACCGCCGCGAACGCCCGCCTGGCCCCGCTCGGCTCGGCCTCACCTTACCTCACTGGTGCCGCGCCTCCAACTCCAGCCTCAGCGCACCTTCCCCGCTACACCTCTGCGCACGCGCAACGCCCGTCTCTCCCGTCCAGGCTCGCGCTCCGGCACTGCCCCTCGCGAACGTGCGTTCAGCGCTTTTCCTCCCAGTGCGGCCACCGTCGTTGGGGAGGGAAGGAAGGAGGAGGCGGGGGAAAGGGTGGGAGGTGGGTGAGCGCGCGCACCGCCCGTCGGTCGTGGTTTCCTGGCTGCGCGCGGCGGTGGCGGAGCAGCTGCAGCTCCAGCAGCAGCCGCGAAGATGGCGGAGGGGTTGGAGCGTGTGCGGATCTCCGCGTCGGAGCTGCGAGGGATCCTGGCCACTCTGGCTCCGCAGGCCGGGAGCAGAGGTGAGTCGCGCCGCCCAGCTCCTGGGCCGGGCCTGCCCGCCCCGCCTCCCTCTCCTCCTCTGCCTCCTCCCAGCTCTGTTCGCGGCGCTCCGGAGCCCCCGCCCCTTCCCCCGACAGTGGGGGCGGGGGCCGCGGGCGTACCCTCGCCTCCCTCTCTTCCTCAGGGTCTGTGTGGGGTAGCGCTCAGCCAGTCCTGGCTCCCTCTGGGGGAGCCCGGCCCGAGTTCCTGCCTCCACCCTGTTTCTCACCGCGAAGGTGACTGTTCCCCTTTGCCTCAGCCCTCTCAGACCAGCCGGCGGTTCTTCAGGCGTCAGGAGACGCGAGGAGGAGTGGGTCTGGTGGAGGCCCCGGGGTGTGTCGTTCCCCAAAGAATCATCCGTAGGCCTGCCCCTGTCATCTCTTTAGCGTCTGAGAGAAGGAATGGGGGGGGGGGAATTGAGGAGACGGGTTTAACAGCCTGGGACTTCCTTGCTGAACTTTTTCCCCCAAGGCAGGCTGCTGAAAGCTGCACCACTGGAGGGATCCAGGACCTCAGTGAGCTGCTCTGTTTTGGCCTTGGCTTGTGTGGGAGCAGTTTTTATCAGGCAGAATACTTAATTTGCAAGTTAATTTTAAGTCTCCAGTCACCTCAGGAAAACTCTGAGAAAGAGTCTAATGTCTCATCTCCCTTTTATTAGGCAGTGGTGGTGTGTAGAATGGTAGCTGTGCTAAGTGGCCTTCCCCAGGCTCACAGCCTAAGTCTGTGAAATTGGTTTTCGTTGGTCAACTGAATTGGGTTATTCAGGCTGTTTTCTTCCGCTGCTCTGGAAAGTAGCAGTAGTTATTTTACAACTACTCCTTCTCCCCCCAAACACACCTAAGTTACTGAGACTGCTAGGGTGTTCTGGGGTTAAACTGCTTTATCTTTGTTCTTAATGAAGCAGTGTTTTAAACTTTTGAAAATATCGAAGCATTATATATTTTTCTATTTTGTTACCTCTACAAACAGTGGGCATAAATGCTGAAACATATGAGAACCTTGTTATGGACTTGTTTTGCATTCGTGTTTATAAAACAGTAGGATTTTATATAGCATTCTATTTGGAGTACTCGATACTATTCTAATTCATGTCACTTTCCCACTGAATTGTTTAGTGGTCACTTGTAGTAGTCTCCCCCTTAATAGATAAAGTGATAGATACTTGCTCGTCTGTCATTCAGTAAGTTCATAGAGCCTAGAGAGTGGTTTCTAAAGTCCTGTACTCTTATTTTTGAGTGCCTTAGTCCTTGGCATTTTGAGAACATGTCACAATCCTTCCATCAGCATCCAGGGAAAACTCCTTTATGGAACTTTTTTCTTCTCATATTCCATCATCATAGTAGCAGTTAGTCTCAGTATTCTAATGATGGTAGTCTGAGCAGTATTTCCTTGGAATGACTCTGTTGGCTGCTGTTATAGAGTTGGTGAGGACCAGTGGAGTTGAAGAATGTGAAAGAAACTGCTTCCTGTTTGCTTCAACAGGAGGTATGTGATTGAGTAATTGGTATTCTAAAGAAGAGGATTGTCCTGGTCAAGTTCAAAGACTAGAGTTGCACATTTTTATCCCCAGAGATGTTGAAGGCTATGCATACCCCTCTTTTTCTCCTTTTTAATTTTTTCCCCTTTTATGTTAAAAGGACTTAGTCAATCTGGAAAAATGTTAGAGGCAGAAGAAAACACTGAAATGGATTCAAGGGTTCTATTAACAGAGAACAGTCTAATGCTTGAAAATGTTAGAGATCTTTTGTTCTGGCAATGATAAAGTAATTGGGGTCTTAGATTTCTGAATTTAACCTAACGCAAATGGAGGTGGGCTTTTCCCCATTTCCCTACCCAAGTGTAGGTAGCTCCAATACAATTAAGTTGTTAACCTTGACAATTGCTGAACAAATATTATAAACCCAGAATTTCTACTTCTACAGCAATATCCTTTCTTATTCACCAATATTAGCAGTTGAATGTGTAATTCTTGCTTGAGTTTTCTGTTACT